GCGGATAGTGTCCCAGGGATCGCGGTGCGGCGGAATGTCAGGGGGAGGTGACGCGAGTGGGATGTGGCGCGGGGGACGCTCGAGGGGAAGAACTGCAACTGCAGATTCTCCCCCCTTTTGTTTGTCGCGGGAAGTCTCCCAGCCTCCAGCAGAGGCGCCCCAGCCGCTCGTTTCGCCGCCAGATGCGGCGCCCCATCCGCCGGTTCCGGTTGCCCATGTTCCGCCGGTGTTGCCCCATTCGCTGGTATCGGCCGTTCCCCATCCGCCGGCGCTCCCCCACCCCCCTTCATTGGAGGCGCTTTCTTCTGCTTCGGCGCCCCATGCGGCGCAAGTGAATGTTCCGCGTGCTTCGGTGAGGCTATGTTGGCGAAGCTCTTCTGCTTCGCGGCGCGCCAATTCTTCCTCCTGTTCCACGGTGAGTTTTGCCGTGGGGTCGCGCCAATGGGGGTAAATCTGTAGAAAGTCTTCGCGGGTGTAGGGTCGTGGCACGCCACGTGCATCAAAGGTGCCGACGCCAGTTCCGCGTAGCATCCCTCGGAGGTGTTGAGAGGGGGGACCGATGAGAGGGTGCTCAGGCGTGCCGAACACGCCATGCGCGGTGACTTCAAGTTCCAATTGAGACATGCCTTCTTCTGGCGGCGCGTGGACTTCTGCTTCGGCGATGGCGGCCAGTCCGCGGCCGGCAACGGCGCTGGTTGACGTCGTCGGCGTGTGGCAATCCCTGCAGATGCCATCTGTGTCAGGGTCGTGCAGCGCCGTTTCGCGTGGGTGGGGATGGTGCGGTACCCACAGTCTTCCGTCAGGGTGTTTCCAGTCCCTGCGGTGGATGTGCTCGAAGCGTAGTGGCACGAGGTCGATTAACTCGTGCGAGTCGCCGCTGCAGTCGGGGATGTCGAAGTCTAGGACATACACTCCATTCTCGGAGTGTGCTCGTCCGATCTGCCTGCGGGGGAAGTTTCGGGACTCGTAGTGCAGCAGAATGTCGCGCGTCGCGCGATCCGTGCTGAGTTCGACGCCGCAGTCCATGAGCTGTGCGGCGGAAAGCAGGTTGAAGCGCAGGTTCTGGACGATCAGCACATCGTTGAGTGTGATGTGCGTGCGGCTTCCGCGTGCCTTGAGCACGACGATGCCTTGCGCACTTGCGCGCAGGCGTGTGTTGTTAGCCACGGTGACGTAGGTGACTGTCGGGGTGGCGACGGCGTTGGATATGTAACGCTCGGAGCCCACCATATGCTGGCCGCAGCAGCTATCCAGGTACCAGGTGTTGAAGCGCTTGTTGTCGTCACGTGCGAGCAGCACCAGCCGCGGCGTGACGATGTGCGGAGTGTCGAACTTCAGAAATTGCTCGCGCGAGAGCCAATCAAGTGGCGCCACCCGCATATCAGGTACGTGCGGGGGACTTTCAAGCAGCGGGACTGGGAGATTCCAGTCCTGGGCGTCGTCGTCGGTGATGTCGTGGCACGGGCTAAAAGGGTTGTTGTTGTTGAACGCGCCAATGGGGTGCGGTGCGGGCTCAGGTGAAGGTGAGCGCACGCGGCGACGACGCGATTCGCCTGTCATGGCCATGTTGCTCATGACGTTGCGTACTGGGGCAGTCGATGGTGGCTGCTGCTGCTGATGCTGAACCGTTGGGTTCAAATTGCGCGCGGTTGGGGGTTGATACCCCTGGGCTGGACGCACGTCGCCTCGTGCGTCTTGTCGGCCGGACCAGTTGCTCGGGTTGGTATGGCGAGGGCGGGATCGGTACTTGCATCGATCCGCCAAATGCCCAAAGTTCCTGCAGATTTTGCAGTAGAGGCGCCTCGGCCGTCGCTCTTCGTTGTTGTCGGCGTAGAAGGCGAGCCGTTCTCTTTCTCGTCGTGGCGCTGGTCGCTGCCGTTGCTTGACGAGAAGTGCGGCGCAGAGGGCGGCCTCCGAGATGACCCCCTGCTGTCGGAGAAGCGCCTTACAGGGCCGCTACTCTAGGCCGAGCCCTTGAAGCACGATGTTCACGAAGATTTCTTCGGAGATCAAACTTCCTAACTTCACGATTTGATCGCGAACGCTCCGAGAGCGATTGATGTAGGTATTAACCTTCTCCCCTGAGACCATTTTGGTCTCCAGCAGCTGCTGAAGCAGTCGGCTCGAGGAAACGGAGTCCTTCGGCTGATACACGCCGTTCAGGTGGCGCCAAGCGTCGAGGGCTGGAGCAGCCGATGTCTTGTACGATCGGATGTTTAGTTGCTCCGCCGGCGACATGTTGCGAAGGAGAATTCCGTACGCCATCAGGGACTCGTTGTAGTAGCGAGTCCTGGCGTCATTGGTGTCCTCAGCGGGTTCCGCGTAGCTCCCGTCGAAATAATGGTAAATTTGGGCGTTCTGCAGCAAGAGCTCCAATTCGAAGCTCCAGGTATAGAAGTCTCTGCCGTCAAAACATGTACTTGTCTTTATTTTTGATATGCTGAGAAACTTTGATTGTGCTGAGAGAATTGCTTCCTCACTGGGACGGGGAGCCTTGGGGGTTGAGCCATTGGTGTCGAGGGAGAAAGTTTGCGGGACGGCGTTCTGCCCAGTTGGGGCCGGTTGAGATGGTTGCGAGGATGTTCCCGCATCGCCGTTCCGTAATGTTTGGAGCCCTTGCTCCAAGCTGGTGAGTCGCTGAAGAAGTTGTGCGAGGACTTCGGTGCCGATCGTCGTTGTTTCATCGCTCGTCGCAGCCGGATTGGGTTGCGCTTCAGCCGTCAGATTAGTCTGACCACCAGATTCCGCCGGCCATTCTCACACGCGATCGTGTGCCGGACGCCACTTTCCGAATGTCGCAATTTTCGGGAGTGGCAGTGCGAAGGATTCCCGAGCCGCTCTCATACCATGCTACGATCAGAAGTTGATCGTTCCCAGGATCTACTCGGGAAGGTTCGCACACAGAGAAATGAAGTTGGTGGGCCCTTGACCTCAATAGCAGAGTGGATGTAAAATGCTTGAGATGAATAAAACATGCAAATACAGCAAATATAAATATGAGTACAGGGAAGGCGAAACGTCCTAGCTAGCCATGTACTCTAAGGGGTACATTCCCTTATTCAAATTCATTCCCAACCGTGCGGCGCGTACAGTTACGAAAACTGTTCCCGCCAAAGCCATCCTGCCTGCAGCTGTCGATGTCATCTGCCCCGACGGTCCAGATGTGCTGTAACTGTCTGACGCTTCGAGTCAATTCCTAACCGTCTGACTCTTCGCGTTCGTTCTCGATACTGCATGCTCCCTTTGCTGCGGTAAGGAGTGCACAGTAACATTCGGGTATTACTATTCGTAACAAACCCTTGCATGCATTGGCTGTCAGGGTAATGCCAACCAGATTCATGATTTTATTCCATAGCACATACTATTTATGATGTGTGTTCTTGGTGCTGTGTGCAACCCTAAGAAATGCTTTGCTGGTGGAATGGTCCAGACCTAGAATGGAGATATCAGGCTTTCATATTGGGTTGCATTCATATATATTAGTCCAGACCTAGAGTTGTAGCATTCATATTGGGTAGCATTCATATCGATTAGTTTTGTCTTGCAGTATCAGGCTTATGTACGCACTGGATGTTCCTGGAGGATGAAGGTGTCTCCAATTTGCTGATGTGGCGATTCTTATCGTCACAGCACAGCACCTTGTTCCGGCGAGCTGTGATATCATTTGGCGCGGAGCTCTGGGCGAGAATTTTCAGGGTCCCTTGTCTCGTCGTCAGCAACCCAAGGAGAGTCCAAAGTGAAACATCGACGGACGCTACAGTTTCGTCGAGGAATGTCGGCGATTTTCCACCTTCGGATCGAGCGTTCCGACCGTCAAGATTCATCGACATTTCCTACAGTTTCGTCGGGGAATCTCGATGTTCACTTCGGACACCCCCTAAGGCAGCTTCGCACGCCCTAATGGTTCCTTTGTGACATTTTTGTTGAGGTCAGAGGTTCATACGGGCGTGAACAGTGAAACGCGGGCGAACGCGGGATCGCTTCCGCGCGCTCGCGAAAGCGAACTGCCCGCGGGCAGGAATAAAACTAAACCCCATCGCGACCGGCATGCGGCTCGGGAGCCTCAACCCTAAAATCTTAGGGTTGAGGCTCCCGAACGGCATGCCGGTCGCGTTGGGGTTTATTTTTTTTGCCCCGGGCAGATCGCTTCCGCCGGCTCCGCGTCCTGGTGGAAACTCGTTTCCACCAGGGGGGCACCTGGTGGGTTTGCGCCCACCAGGGCTCGTAGGAACTCACCAGATCAGGCTCGTCAACACTTTCGAACCTCCCCATTTCGCGCTTTCTGTCCCTCCCTCTACCGCCCATAAAGCGCCTCGGAAGATGCTTTGTATGGTCACGTGGATTCTTTTTGCCATCGCGCCGAGGTCTGTGGGTGTTCTGTTAATTCTGCGCCACTTGCCAAAACGCGATTCGGACGCAAAGCGCCAAAAATATACTGACACGGGATCAAATCCGCCGTAGAGAAGGCACAGCCCCCGCCTCTCGCAGGTGGTTGGATGAAACACAAAATTTTACGATGAGTGGAAAGTGAGGACTGGTGGAGTGCCTAGTGTGGATACACATACATGCATACATGCTTGTCCTGATTTGAGGTTCTAGAAAATGTAAAAACTGTACACATCCTATGCGATATGCTTCGCTAAAAACTGTGGATGTTATTTGACGGGCAGCAGGTGGTGGTGGTGACCACCACGCCCCACAGGCTTGCTGCAATTTCTGCTGTTTCCTGTCTCTAGTGCCCCAAACCCTCGTCTCTCTCATCCTCTCCTTGCTGGGGGTTGCTCACGGAGACCCTCCTCACAGACCAGGGACACCAAATCACCCGCTACGCGCGGCAGAAAAACGCGCGAAATATAGCAGCGAGCAGCACGGCCAGCAGAATCACGGACGTGGGGCAATTTTAGCTTCCGAACAAGCGGTGCAAGCAGCACAGCCAGCAGCATCACGGATGTGGGGCAATTTTAGCTTTCGAACAAGCGGTGTCTAGACACACCACTGCTATGTTCTGGTAGTATAATACTGTGAAATTGCATTGGTCAAGTTTAATCCCCAAATTCTCAGACTTCGTCAACATGCTTCATCTGGACGACTGCCATCCGCCCACGTCGTGAACCAGCAACCCGCCATTCGACCCTGGAGATCGCTCACCGCCATTCGCCCTCAACCAGCAACCCGCCTCCATCCAGAAGCCGCCCACCGCCCAGCCTGCCCTTCGATCTCCAAAGGTAAGCTTCAAGTTATTATGGCTACTTGTTTTTACTTTCACGCCTTTCATTTATTGAGTGTCCTTGCTTTGAATATTTTCCATGTTTACCTTCAATCTCTGACTCTGTTTTGTTTATATCTTTGCAGGTTCAAGAAGCATTCAAGTCTAATGGCCAATCTACCGAGCTGGTGCTTTCCACTATCAATTATCTCAACAAGCCGAGCTGCTGCACTGCAGCCTTGGATTCTCGGACTTCATCAACAAGCTTCATCTGGACGACCGCCATCCGCCCACATCGTGAACCAGCAACCCGCCATTCGACCCTCGAGATCGCTCACCACCATTCACCCCCATCGCCAACCAGCAACCCGCCTCCATCTCGAAACCGCCCCCCGCCCAGCCTGCCCTTCGATCTCGAGAGGTAAGCTTCAAGTTGTTATGGCTACTTGTTATTACATTCACGGATTTCGTCAGTTGATTGTCCTTGCTTTAATTATTTTCCATGTTTACCTTCAATTTCTGACTCTTTGTTGTTCATATTTTTGCAGGTTCAAAACGTGTTGAAGTCTAATGGCCAAACTGCTGAGCTGCTGCTCTCCACTTTCAAGCCTCTGAACCAGTCGAGCTGCTGCACTGCAGCTTTTGACCAAGTCCTCGGACTTCATCAACAAGCAACCCGTCATTCGACCCTGGAGATCGCTCACCGCCATTCGCCCCCATAGCCAACCAGCAACCCGCCACCATCCCGAAACCGCCCCCCGCCCAGCCTGCCTTTAGATCTCTTGAGGTAAGCTTCAAGTTGTTCTAGCTGCGTGTTTTTACTTTCACTCATTTCATCTATTGAGTGTCCTTGCTTTGAATATTTCCATGTTTACCTTCAATTTCTGACTCTTTGTTGTTTATATTTTCGCAGGTTCAAAACGCGTTCAAGTCCAATGGCCAATCTACCGAGCTGTTGCTCTCCATTTTCAAGCCTCTGAACAAGCCGAGCTGCTGCACTGCAGCCTTTGATCAAGTCCTCGGACTTCATCAACAAGCAACCCGTCATTCGACCCTGGAGATCGCTCACCGCCGCTGCTGCCTGCTGCTGCTGCCTGTCATCACGCCGTGGCTGGCAGCTTGACGCGATCTGACGCGGTGTAACGCGGTGTAACGCGGTGTCGCGTTGGACGTGGTGCTGCCGTCCGTTTCATCACGCTGCCAACATTGATCATGGGGAAGTGTTGCTTCCCTTTTCCCTTGTTTCTTTCCCGATTTCGTTTTCCTCGCTTTCGTTTTTCGTCATCATTATCATCATCCACAACCGCCCATTTGTGAATCGCGTTTCCATCGTCCCTCTGGTTCATACGGCTGCTGTCGGAAGACGATCCTCCTCGGTTGGGTAGATAGGGTTGGCTAGATTAGATCCTCCCTCTGAAGGCTGCAGCCTATGACCCATGGACGTCCGCCCTCGTTTTCTTTGTCGTTTTCATATCCATTTTCGCTTTCGCTTTTCGCATTCGTTTTATGCTTCTTTTTTTTCCCCTTTGTTTTTCTTCGTGCCATTGCTGTATACTAACTTCGTGCTTCTGTGTTTTTTCTTACCCCCCGTTTCCAGCAATGGAGGATCATGTCGCGCATGGAGGAAGATCTGCAACTGGAGGGAAGCAGTGAAGCAACCAAGGACGCAGCTTATTGGTAAGTCGAAACCGTTTGATTCTTTGTTTTTAATCGTTTAATCGTTTAGCTCTGTTAATGGTTCTCTGCTTAATGTGAATTTTTCTTAAATTCGGATTCAGAATGTATGCTAAATTAATTTCTATTGTTTTTCTTCAACAGGACCAGCCAACGAAGATTCAAATGGCGAAGAAGCAGCCTGCGAAGTAGCGGCCTGCGAAGTAGCGGAGCGGCAGCCTATGAAGAAGCGTAGCAGCCTACGAAGCGGCGAAACAGACTACTTAGCGGCGGAACAGACTATGAAGCGGCGGAGAAGCCTACAAAGCCGCCAATGAACTGCCAAGGTAAGCTTCTGAGTACTTGCATTAATGATCCTTGCTGTTCACCGATTCTGCTTTAGCTTGTTGCAAATCGTTATCCCTCAACTTTTGTCTTTTTTTTTTTTTTTTCTAACAGGACCAGCCAACGAAAATGCAAGTGGCGAAGGCGGAGCGTCCTACGAAGCTGCGGAGCGGCCTACTTAACGGCAGAGCGGCCAACAAATCCGCCAATGGAACTCCCTAAGGTATGCTTCTGGAGTCCTCGCATTGTTAATCCTTGTCGTTTAGCGTTTCTGCTTGCAAACAATTTCTTCAATAATCTGTATATACTAATTTCTATCCGCCGTTTTTTCTTAAACAGGAAGGAGCCAACGAAGGAGCCAACAAAGCAGCCAACGAAGCCAATGGAGAAGGAGCTGACGGAGCAGCCTACTAGCAAGGAGCCTATGAAGCACATGAACCAGCTCGCAAAGCCGCCAGTGCAGCTCTCAAGGTAAGTTTCTGAGTCCTTGTTTACCGTTTTCTGCTCGAGCTCGCTGCAAATCGCTTCTTAAATATTTTAATATATACTAATTTGTGTCTCGTTTTATCTTTAACGGGTCCAACCAACAAAGTAGCCAACGAAGCCAATGGAAAAGCAGCTGACGGAGCAGCCTACTACCAAGGAGCCTATGAAGCACATGAAGCAGCTCGCAAAGCCGCCAGTGCAGCTCTCAAGGTAAGTTTCTGAGTCCTTGTTTTACCGTTTTCTGCTCGAGCTTGCTGCGAATCGCTTCTTAAATATTCAATATATACTAGTTTGTGTCTCGTTTTATCTTTAACAGGTCCAACCAACGAAGCAGCCAACGAAGCCAATGGAAAAGCAGCTGACGGAGCAGCCTACTACTAAGCAGCCTACGAAGCAGATAGAAGCAGCACACAAAGCCGCCATTGAAGCTTCAAGCTTTCAAGGTAAGTTTCTGAACCTCTCGTTGATCCTTGTTGTTTACCGTTTTCTATTTAAGCTTCCTGCAAATCGTTTTTAAGGATTTTGATACATACTAATTTGTGCTTCGTTTTGTCTTACACAGGAATAACCAACGTAGCAGCCAATGAAGCCAATGGAGAAGTAGTTGACGGAGCAGCCTACTACCAAGCAGCCTACGAAGCAGTTAGAAGCAGCCCACAAAGCCGCCATTGAAGCTTCAAGCTTTCAAGGTAAGTTTATGAGTCCTCGTTCTTGATCCTTGCTGTTTACCATTTCCTACTTGAGCTTGCTTGGAATCGATTCGTAAGGATTTTGATGCGTACTAATTTGTGTCTCGTTTTCAGGACTAACCTACGAAGCATTCAAAGAAGCTAATGGAGAAGTAGCTGACGGGGCAGCCTATTACCAAGCAGCCTCCGAAGCAGATAGAAGCAGCCCACAAAGCCGCCCTCGAAGCTCCAAGTTTCAAGGTAACTTTCTGAACCGTTTGTTTACCGTTTTCTACTTGAGCTGGGTGCAAATCGTTTTTTTAATATATTTATATATACGAATTTGTGTTTCGTTTTGTCTTAAACAGGAATAACCAACGAAGCAGCCAACAAAGCCAATGGAGAAGTAGCTGACGGAGCAGCCTACTGCCAAGCAGCCTACGAAGCAGTTAGAAGCAGCCTACAAAGCCGCCATTGAAGTTTCAAGCTTTCAACGTAAGTTTCTGTTCTTGATCCTTGCTGTTTACCATTTTCTACTTCAGCTTGGTGCAAATCGTTACTTTAGGATTTTGATACGTACTAATTTGTGTCTCGTTTTCTCTTAAACAGGGCTAACCAACGAAGCAGCCAACGAAGCCAATGGAGAAGTAGCTGACGGAGCAGCTTACTACCAAGCAGCCTACGAAGCAGTTAGAAGCAGCCCACAAAGCCGCCATTGAAGCTTCTAGCTTTCAAGGTAAGTTTCTGAACCTCGTTGATCCTTGTTGTTTACCATTTTCTACTTGAGCTTGCTGCAAATCGATTCTTGAGGATTTTGATACATACTAATTTGTGTCTCCTTTTGTCTTAAACAGGACTAATCAACGAAGCATTCAAAGAAGCTAATGGAGAAGTAGCTGACGGGGCAGCCTATTACCAAGCAGCCTACGAAGTAGATAGAAGAAGCCCACCAAGCCGCCATTGAAGCTTCAAGCTTTCAAGGTAAGTTTCTGAAGCTCTCGTTGATCCTTGTTGTTTACCGTTTTTACTTGAGCTGGGTACAAATCGTTTCTTAAAGATGTTTATGTATACTAATTTGTGTTTCGAATTGTCTTAAACAGGTCCAACCAACGAAGCAGCCAAGAAGCCAATGGAGGAGCAGCTGACGGAGCAGCCTGCCACCAAGCAGCCTACGAAGCAGATAGAAGCAGCCCACAAAGCCGCCATTTAAGCTGTCATGGTAAGTTTCGGAGTCCTCTCGTTCCTGATCCTTGGTGTTTACCGTTTCTGCTTGAGCTGGTTGATTTAAGATTCGTATATTTACTAATTTGTGTCTGTCGTTATTTCTTAAATAGGACCAATCAATGAAGCAGCCAACGAAGCGAATGGAGAAGCAGACGCAGCAGCCTACAAAGTCACCCACGAAGCACATGACGCAGCAGCATACAATGCTGGATGTATGTGCGACAGGCTGCAAGGAGCGGCGGAAGCACTTGCTGGGCTGCAAGAAGCGGCGGGAGCAGTTATGTGCTGCAAGTAGCGGCGGAAGCACTTGCTGTGCTGCAAGGAGCGGAGGAAGCGGTTTCTGGGCTGCGAGGAGCAGCGAAAGCGGTTGCTTAGCTGCGGAAGCGGAGGCTGGGCTACGGAAGCGGATGCTGGGCTGCGGAAGCTGTTGCTGGGCTGCGGAAGCGGAGGATTGGCTGCGGAAGCGGAGTCTTGGCTGCGGACGCGGAGTCTTGGCTGCGGAAGCTGTTGCGGGGCTGTGGAAGCGGTTTGCCGCGATAGCGGAGGCTGGGCCGCGGAAGCGGAGGATGGGCTGCGGAAGCGGAGGATGGGCTGCGGTAGCGGAGGATGGGCTGCGGATGCGGAGGCTTGGCTGCGGAAGTGGATGCTGGGCTGCGGAAGCTGTTACTGGGCTGTGGAAGCGGTTTGCCGCAGAAGCGGAGGCTGGGCTGCGGAAGCGGAGGATGGGCTGCGGAAGTGGAGGATGGGCTGCGGAAGCGGAGGGTTGCTGTGGAAGCCGATGCTGGGCTGCGGGAGCGGATGCTTGGCTGCGGAAGCGGATGCTGTGCTGCGGGAGCGGTTACTTGGCTGCGGAAGCGGTTGCTTGGCTGCGGAAGCGGTGGCTTGGCTGCGGAAGCGGAGGCTGGGTTGATGAGCGGTGAAGCGGCGTTTAAGGGAGCGGCGAAGCAGTCTACAAGGGAGCACCGCAGCATGCTACAGGGAAGCAGCTTACCAGTCTACAGGGAAGCAGCGTAGCAGTCCACAAGGAAGCAGCGTAGCAGCCTACAAGGAAGCAGCGTAGCAGCCCACAGGGAAGCAGCGTAGCAGCCTACAGGGAAGCAGTGTAGCAGCCTACAGGGAAGCAGCGTAGCAGCCTACAGAGAAGCAGCGTAGCAGCCTGCAGGGAAGCAGCGTAGCAGTCTTCAAGGGAGCAGCGTAGCAGTCTACAGGGAAGCAGCGTAGCAGTCTTCAAGGGAGCAGCGTAGCAGTCTACAGGGAAGTAGCGTAGACAGAGGCAGGACTGCAAGGAGGCTTCGCTGCAAGGAGTAGACGGAGGAGGAGGCTGCAGAAGCGGCTGCTGCGGAAGCGGAGGCTGGGCGGGAGGGATGTGGAGAAGCAGTGGATGGATGTGGCAAAGGGTTGCGCGGATGGTGGCTGGATGGGAGCTCAAGGGTGGCCTAAGAGGTGGCTGAGCTAGCGCAGGCTCAGCCGGTCCTAAGGCGAGTGGCGCGGTGTGGGTGTGGCCTCAGCGGTGATGTGATGGAGGACGGGCCGGTGCTTGGTTCTGGCAGTGCAAAGTCGCCCGGGAGGCTTTGCACTGCCTGGGCCCAGAATCAAGCAATACCGGGTATCCTACACTCCAGGTAGCATCACTGTTGGGGTTGCACTTGCACCACAAGTCATCACCGCACCGGGGTGGGTGCGGGGGGCTTGAGTCACTGTAAAGAGAAGGGAGACCGCACTGGCGTGGGTGCGGAGATCTTCTCTTACCTCTGAATGATGAGTCCACACTGGCGTGGGTGTGGAAATACTCATTCTAGGTCCACCTGAGGGTTTTCCGTTTAGGAGGCTGCGGTTTCACTTAAAGCCTCGGGGCTTTCTCACACTGGGGTGGGTGTGGGGGGTTCACCACTTGATGCGTTAGCTTGGAGTCACAGGGAGAGGGATGTAGCAGTGGAGGGGAGCAGCCGCATGATGCAGCAGCCGCCTGGAGCAGTTAAGGGGAGCAGCCGCCTGGAGCAGTTAAGGGGAGACGCAACCGCCTGGTGCAGAGAAGGGGAGAGAAACCCCTGAACTGGTGCAGACAAGGGAGAAGCCGCCTCCTGGTGCAGACAAGGGAGAAGCCGCCTCCTGGTGCAGACAAGGGAGAAGCCGCCTCCTGGTGCAGACAAGGGAGAAGCCGCCTCCTGGTGCAGACAAGGGAGAAGCCGCCTGGTGCAGACAAGGGAGAAGCCGCCTCCTGGTGCAGACAAGGGAGAAGCCGCCTCCTGGTGCAGAGAAGGGAGAAGCCCCTGGTGCAGACAAGGGAGAAGCCTGGAGCAGTTAAGGGGAGAAGCCGCCTGGAGGCAGTTAAGGGGAGAACCTGTCTGGAGCAGTTTAAGGGAGAAGAACCTCTAACGCCTGAATGGGAGAAGCAGCTGCGTGGTGCAGATAAGGGGGGAGGAACCCCTAAAATTTTGAAGAGGAGAAGCAGCCTGGTGCAGAGAAAGGGGAGAAGAGGAGAAGAATTTCTAAACCCTGAATGGGAGAAGCAGCTTGGTGCAGAGAAGAAGGGGAGAAGCATTTGGTGCAGAGTAAGGGTTGCAGCCGCCTGGTTGAGAGAGGGGGGGAGGAACTCCTTCACCTTGAAGCAGAGAAGCAGCAGCTTGGTGCAGCCGCCTGGTGCAGACAAGGGGAGCAGCCACTTGGTGCAGACCAAGGGAGCAACCGCCTGGTGCAGACAAGGGGAGAAGGAGAGGAGCAGCCGTTTGGTCTGGACAAGGGGAAAAGCAGCCTGGTGCAGAGAAGGGGAGGAGCAGCTTGGTGCAGAGAAAGTGAGCAGCTGCCTGGTGCAGTTAAGGGGAAAAGCAGCAGCTTGTTGCAGAGAAGGGAAGGAGCATTTGCCTGGTTCAACGAAGAGGAGAAACAGAAGCAGCCGCCTGGCGCAGAGGAGGGGAGAAGCAGGAGCAGCCGCCTGGTGCAGAGAAGGGGAGAAGCAGTCGGGTGTAGGGAAGCACCCTTAGGAGGTTTTTTAGCCGAGTGATACGGCAGTACCCTAAGTGACAGGGTCTCAGTCCGTAGGCATCCCACCCAAAGAGATGCTGATGGGACGGATTTTTTATCCTCCATGGCTTGTGCACAAGCCTTTCAAGAACAACAACAACAAAACAAAAAAAGCCAGCTTGCAACAGCAGCATTGTACTTGGTTCCAGCCATAGCTTTCTGTTCTCCTTGCACATTGTACTTGGTTCATTAGTGCATTACTCACTCAGAGCTTGGGAATCACTTAACTGTAGCTTGCTGTAAATTGCATCCACTGTTGCTGGCTGTTTAACAACCACGTACACTACAGTCAAGTTTAAAGCCCGAGTCCCAAATTGCGGGCCGCGCGGGTCAAGCTTTTAAAACTTGACGAACTAGTGTTTTCAAGGTTTGAAGAAAAGCGTGCCTGCAATTTGGGACTTTTGGGAACTGAACCAACCCCCAGGGCGAAATACGAGGGCGGGCTGGGTTTGGCGAAAAAAACGAAAAAAGCGAAATCGGAATCTTTCGCCAAAACCCTCACCACAAAAACCCCCTCGCGTCAACCTTTTAAAACTTGTGCAATTTGGGCTGCCGGCTTTAAGCGTTCAAATGCAGAGCTCTGTGATGAGGAATGATTTATCAGGGTGTGTAACATCACTGTTGGAGGCCGAGTGAACCGCTTTGTTATAAGCATGCAAGGCAGGGTTCAGGGGACAAGCAGGAACACCGCGTGAACTCACAAAACCTTGGGGACCTCCCCAGAAGCACGTGGCTTTTGCTTCATTTGCCATCCCGTTTCACCCACACCAGATTCCCAAACTTCCCGCAAATTCCTTCCCCATACCAGTTCCAGCTGTAGAGATTCTTTCACTTGCGAGTCCGCTTGCCTCGCATTTCTTTCCGTCTCCAGTTTCGTGCCTGGGCCGCCGTGTCGGGCTGGCACTCTTTCCGTCAGACGACAATTAAAAGCTAAACAACAGCCGCAGGCGCTAGGATCGCGTCTTGGCTTTTTCCTGCCCGCAGAAAGCCCACCACCTTCGCGTGACACGTTCTTCTGCGTTGCTCGTCGTTGCGAAAGTCCATCATCACATCCGTCTTGAACCGCAGAACCGAAGCTTATTTTTTCTCTTGGTTACTCTCAAGAATCCTTTCTCGCAGAAGCTAACCGCCTTCTGTCGCCATGGCTGCGATCGCTCCGCATTTCCTGTCGCTCAAGTCTAGTGCGGGATCCCTTCGTCGGTCTGCGAAATCCCTTCAGCCAGCTCAAAAGATCGCGCAGGCGTCGCAACAACCGACGCGACGTCGCCTGGCGTTCGCACGGGTTGCAGCGCCGGAACCCGAACCACCCAGATCCCGAACCGTCGCGCAAACCTCCACCCCGTCGACCAGCACCGCCGCGGCGCCTTTATCTCCGTCTCCGTCTCCGGCGCTTCGCGAACCTCCCGTTGAGAAGCGGTTATTCGAGCACGTGATCGAGGCGCAGCAGTTCAACCGCGATTTGCTGTCGGAGATCTTCGAGGTGGCGGACGAGATGCAGCAGATCCTCGAGGCGCGCGGCGGCGCGGGGTGTTCGAACATGCTGCGCGGGTACCTCATGGCGACGCTGTTCTACGAGCCATCGACGCGCACGCGGCTGTCGTTCGAATCCGCCATGAAGCGGCTCGGCGGCGAGGTGCTGACGACGGAGAATGCGCGCGAATTCTCGTCCGCCGCCAAGGGGGAGAGCCTTGCGGGTGAGCTTAGCGGGAATTTAAGGTGGAGTGGGGGTAAAAATGGGGAGGTGGGGGGGAGGAGCGAGGTATAAAATGGAGGTACTGTTTCGGAAGGGGATTAAGAACGCAGAGCGAATACACCACCTGGCAGAGTGGATTCAGAGTATGGACTTGCGGAATGAGCTGAATGGATGGAACACGCGCGAATTCTCGTCCGCCGCCAAAGGGGAGAGCCTTGCGGGTGAGTTGGGCGGGGATTGAGGGGGAAAGGGAGGGATAGGGGAGAGGGGAGGTAAGGGGGGGAAGGGAAAGGAAGGTAGAAGTGAGAAGAAGGAAGGCAGAAGTGAGGATGGAATCTTGGAGTGAATTTGAAGAATCAAGTTGCGGAATGGATTGAAAGATTGAAGTAATAGGACGACTAGAAGGACTGAAGTAATGTAGCAGTGGAATTCAATGAATATAGTTGAATCCAAACTGTACAGTAGAAATGTATATTGTTCTAAATTACCTCCGCTTCCCCCCTTCTCTCCTGCATATTTTTCTAAACCCATCCTCACCACTACCAAAACCCTTTCAATCCCTCTCTTTCTCCCGTTCCCCTCCCCACCACGTCGTCCTCGTCTCTCCCCCTCTCCCCCCTTCCCCTCCCACTCTCCACCCCTTTCCCCTTCAACCCCTGCAGACTCCATTCGCACGGTGGAGGTGTATGCGGACGTGATCGTGCTGCGGCACTACGAGGAGTCAAGTGGTGAGGCGCCTCAAAGCTAGCCCCCTCCACCCCCCTCCCCCTCCCCTCTCCCTGCAGACTCCATCCGCACGGTGGAGGCGTACGCGGACGTGATCGTGCTGCGGCACTACGAGGAAGGCGCGGCGAAGCTGGCGTCGCAAGTGGCGTCCGTGCCCATCGTCAACGCGGGCGATGGGCCCGGCCAGCACCCCACGCAGGTGAGGGGGGTGGGGCAGCACCCGCGCAGGTGAGGGGGTTGAGGCAGCACCCCAGGGGGGGGTGGGGGAGAGAGAGGGGATGTTTGGGGCAGCACGGTTCACTGCAAGTGAGGGAGGCAGAAGTGCATGGGCAGCATAAGCCGTCTTTTGCAGTCACGGGCACCCCTCTTTCCGTCTCATCCCCTCTCCCTGCACCCATCCCCCTTCCCGGCAGTCCCTGTTGGACATGTACACGATTCAGCGAGAGGTGGGGCAGGATGAGCTTTGTCTTGCAGTCGCAGCATGCATAGTACAACTCAATTCACCACTTTCTCTTTCTCACCCCATCTCCTTGCACCCATCCCCACCCCTCCCCGTTCCCCGGCAGTCGCTGTTGGACATGTACATGTACATGATTCAGCGAGTGGTGGGACATGATGAGCTTAGTCTTGCAGTCGCAGGATGCATAGTAATACCCACTTCACCCCTCTTCTGCCATTGAACCCCACCTCCCTGCACCCATCCTCAACCCTCTCTGCCCCCGGCAGTCGCTGTTGGACATGTACACGATTCAGCGAGAGGTGGGGCGGCTGGACAACATCCGAGTGGGGCTGGTGGGCGACCTGGCCAATGGCAGGACGGCGCGCTCCCTGGCGTACCTGCTCGCCAAGTTCCGCAACAACAAGATCATCTTTGTCGCCCCGCCCGTCGTCCGCATGAAGGTGCCTTCACAGTCCTCTCCTTGCTTGTTCCTTAGTCCCATCCCTCACACCCTGTCTCGCTTATCGCTGTTTCCTGGTCCAATGGCAATGTCGCTTGGTCATGGCATTTACCTTGCATGTGTTCTTCAAGCACCCGCCAAGCCTGCACTCCCTCCCTGTGTGTCATGATCTGCTCTTGTCGCCCCACTCCCCGGCTGCTCGGGGCAGGACGACATCAAGGAGTATCTGACAGCGCGGGGCGCGGAGTGGGAAGAATCAGCAGACTTCATGGACGTGGCAGGGCAGTGAGCATTTGCCCCTTGATTGGAGCGTTTACCTGTCATGTACCCTTCAACCCTGCACGTACTGCGTGTCTGGATCCCCACCCCACTGCCGCACGGGGCAGGACGACATAAAGGAGTATCTGACAGCACGGGGCGTGGAGTGGGAGGAATCAGCAGACCTCATGGACGTGGCGGCACAGTGCGATGTGGTGTACCAGACGCGCATTCAGAAGGAGCGGTTCGGCGGGCGCATGGACGAGTACGAGGCGGCACGTGGCAAGTACATTGTGGACCGGCGCGTGATGAACGCGCTCGGGAAGGATGCCATTGTCATGCATCCGCTGCCCCGACTCGATGAGGTGCGAGGGAGGAGGGATTGATTTGTGGGAGGTTTGAGAATTCAAAGCAATTGTGGTGAAGCAGACTTTTACTTTTTATGGACACGTCTGTAACTGGCCTCGTACTGCCTGCAGATTACAACGGATGTGGATTCGGATCCAAGGTCGGCTTATTTTCGCCAAGCTAAGAATGGTGTATACATCCGTATGGCGTTGTTGAAGCTTCTCCTGATTGGCCGTTAGGTCAGTCATGGTTTCTCTGGTTTCCTCAATAGGGCCTAACCAATGCGCTAATAAAGGATGAGGTCCAATTGTGTCTCTTTTTGCAGTGATATGGTTTACTTTTTACTACACAAAATCAGTTGTGGTACAGCCGAGTGTACAGCGCAAACATTTCACTCATCATCTCCATGCGACTGCCACAGTTCCATATCGATTGGATAGTATCTCACCTTTTTCGATTGTAAGAGGCAGGTTAGGTGCGATGTTCGAAGCTACAGTTGTTTTTTCACACGCGATGTCAGCCTTTTCAAAGAAACCCTATTCAGAAGAGAAGTTACTGCATTTCCTTTTACAAGGGAGTGATGAGGGTTGGATGGTCTTCTTGTGCTGTAAAAACAGGTTCAAACCTGTTGTCAGATGACAGTGAAATCGCAAAGCTTAAATCAGTGATTCTGGCAGTGGCTTCTACACATATCCCGGTTTCCCGCTTTGGCATTGAGAATTAGCCCATTCGAGATTCTTTTGTGGTTTGCGTTAGTACTGTGCACGAGCACTAGAGATCCACCCTGAGACGGTCTCATCACTGTTCACAGATTGAGGGGACAGACACGCCTACGAGGAGATCCCTTCGTGGCTTTTTGTGGCTGCCAGCAAGGAGAAACGAAGTTTCGAGGGATGGAGACAAGTGGAGTTGGTGGGCGGGATTGAGGCAGCAAACTTTCTCCCCCTCTCAGACAGCAGTCTGCTCTGCGCATTCCTACACGAGTCCACCGCCATTCTCCCCTTCCACTGTGGTGGGTGAGTGTGGAGTGGACGGAGCTGGTAACCAGTCGCCTGCTGTTGCCTCGGCGGGACTTGCAACGAGAAATGCGTAGCTTGCATCACGCGTGGTCATGGACTTGCCAAGCAGCGTTTTTGCGATGCTTGAGTGGAGCTATGGTGTTTCATGCTGACGAGGCTGACGAGCTGGTAGCCATTAATTCTGCCGACATCGCTGTTCGTACGTCGAACCATATCTTTTCCCTCCAGATCCAGAAAATTCGCTGCCGGATAACCACGAACTGATGGAGTCGCATTGTCGCCGCAGTTGCCGCAGCTGGCAGTTCTCATTTAGGTTACACGGTCGGATAGAAGCCATGTTGGTGTTGCCCTAAATGTTTTTGGCTGCGGGAACCACAAACTTTCAACCAATTTTGTTGCTATCTGAAAGCACCCTCTCGTCAATTACTTCTAACAGACGATTCTTTCGAATAACTTTCCGGCCGATGCGCGATTAGGAGGCCCTACTGACGGGATAATATGGCCGGCCGAGTCAACTGTCCGCTGGAAGCAGCTGTCGCCGGCTGGATGGAAGAAAATGAGGACTCGGCGCGCTTCAGGGACCTAGACATCTCCAGCTTCGCGAACGCGAACGATTTTGGCGACGCCGCCAGACCTAATTTCGGGAACGTGGGACTAGCTAGCTTCCACAACGCCACTGTCAATCCATTCGGCCATCCTGATGACGTGGCAGCGCATTTCGGCAATGCCGACCTGGCCGGTGGTGACTCGGATGGGTCATTGGTCCCGTGGGATCCTGACGTGGATGACGTGGATCAGACATTCTATCCGTTCGTCATCGAGCCTAGAAGACCACCTCCCGGCGTGCCCTTCGACCCCGCCGTGAGTCGCGCCTTCCCCTCTGAGTTAGAAAAAAGACTCGTTCCTTTCGTGATTTGTCCTGTAAGGGTCGATCAATCCGATCCTGCTCGAGGGCTCGACGCCCCCGCGCACCATCGTTTCATATTAGGGCTCACGCATCTCTTCAATCCTCTTCAGTGCTCTTCAATTCCCTTCGATGCTCTTCAAGGTTCTTTTTGCTGCTCGTGAACGACAGCAGTCTCCCATGTAGTTAGCATGTCAGGTGGAGGCGAGGTCACCCGCGAGTGTCAGTGTCACCACCGTGCGTGCACGGCCCGTCCCACAGGGTGCGCCCAGGCCCAGCAACGAGGAGTTCCGCTTGCAAGTGCTCCGCCGCTTCGCCATCCTCGACACCGTACGTCACCTCCTCACACCCTCACCCCATTCACCCCCTCACCCCCTTCAACCCTCACACTCTCAACCCCTTCACCCCTCACACTCTCAACCCCTTCACCCCTCACACTCTCACCCTTTCACCCTTCACACTCTCTCAACCCCTTCAAGCCTCACCTTCCCCATTCACCCCTCACATTCTCATCCCTCTCCCCCTCTCACGCGTTATTCCCCTCATGCTCGCAAGCTCTTACCCCATCGTCTGCTCACATTCTTGCGTGCTGACCCCTCCACCCCCTCACTCAGTACATCCCAACCCACACGCTCTCTTTCCATCTCCACCCCATCCACAGTTCCATTTCTAGTCCTTCCTGCCTTCTTCTCGTGTATTCCCTCGTTTCCTCTCATTCTCTTCCCGGCTCTCCTCTCATCTCTGCTGCTCCTTCTTTCTCCACCCTGTATTTCGTCATCCCGCTTCCCCTCCCATTTTTTCCACAATTTTCTCGTTAGCAGGATCGATGCTCACAACCTAATAGCGTACATAAAGTAGGATTGACTGATTCTTCCACTGTCCCCCCCCCCTCTCACATTTTTATCTGCTCGTTATTGGCACATCCGCAGGAGCCGAATTCCCGGTTTGACAGAATCACAGCACTAGCAGCACAAATTTTTAAGGTCAGTCACCAACCCCCCACCCCTCAGCCCCCTCAGCACCCCACCCAAACACTCCCCCACTGTTTCACATCCATGCATGACTCAATTGATGTGTGAGGCATGTGCTTTGCTTTCTCATCCACGTGCTGTGGTTGCTTCTCGCGCTTTCTCACTGTCCTCCTCTCCCAATCCCCATCCCAGCTGCACTCTAACATGCTCTCACCCACAAATTCCTTCAGCCTTCACTTCTCTTCAATTCAATCTATTTAAACCCCTCTCGCTCCTTCTTATTCCCCTCCCCACCCTCTTGCACCGATCTCCACCTCGTCGCCCTGCAGTGCCCCATCTCACTGGTAGCGTTTGTTGAGGACGACCGTCAGTGGTTCAAGGTAGGACGACCGTCAGTGGTTCAAGGTAGGACGACCGTCAGTGGTTCAAGGTAGGACGACCGTCAGTGGTTCAAGGTAGGACGACCGTCAGTGGTTCAAGGTAGGACGACCGTCAGTGGTTCAAGGTAGGACGACCGTCAGTGGTTCAAGTCACTGCTACCATCTCTTGTGGTGCTGTCTGCGTGCACTCCTACCATCTCTTGTGGTGCTGTCTGCGTGCACTCCTACCATCTCTTGTTGTGCTGTCTGCGTGCACTCCTACCATCTCTTGTTGTGCTGTCTGCGTACACTCCTACCATCTCTTGTTGTGCTGTCTGCGTGCACTCCTACCATCTCTTGCGGTGCTGTCTGCGTGCACTCCTACCATCTCTTGTTGTGCTGTCTGCGTGCACTCCTACCATCTCTTGTTGTGCTGTCTGCGTGCACTCCTACCATCTCTTGTTGTGCTGTCTGCGTGCACTCCTACCATCTCTTGTTGTGCTGTCTGCGTGCACTCCTACCATCTCTTGTTGTGCTGTCTGCGTGCACTCCTACCATCTCTTGTTGTGCTGTCTGCGTGCACTCCTACCATCTCTTGTTGTGCTGTCTGCGTGCACTCCTACCATCTCTTGTTGTGCTGTCTGCGTGCACTCCTACCATCTCTTGTTGTGCTGTCTGCGTGCACTCCTACCAACTCTTGTTGTGCTGTCTGCGTGCACTCCTACCATCTCTTGTTGTGCTGTCTGCGTGCACTCCTACCATCTCTTGTTGTGCTGTCTGCGTGCACTCCTACCATCTCTTGTTGTGCTGTCTGCGTGCACTCCTACCATCTCTTGTTGTGCTGTCTGCGTGCACTCCTACCATCTCTTGTTGTGCTGTCTGCGTGCACTCCTACCATCTCTTCTTGTGCTGTCTGCGTGCACTCCTACCATCTCTTGTTGTGCTGTCTGCGTGCACTCCTACCATCTCTTGTTGTGCTGTCTGCGTGCACTCCTACCATCTCTTGTTGTGCTGTCTGCGTGCACTCCTACCATCTCTTGTTGTGCTGTCTGCTTGCACTCCTACCATCTCTTGTTGTGCTGTCTGCGTGCACTCCTACCATCTCTTGTGGTGCTGTCTGCGTGCACTCCTACCATCTCTTGTTGTGCTGTCTGCGTGCACTCCTACCATCTCTTGTTGTGCTGTCTGCGTGCACTCCTACCATCTCTTGTTGTGCTGTCTGCGTGCACTCCTACCATCTCTTGTTGTGCTGTCTGCGTGCACTCCTACCATCTCTTGTTGTGCTGTCTGCGTGCACTCCTACCATCTCTTGTTTTGCTGTCTGCGTGCACTCCTACCATCTTTTGTGGTGCTGTCTGCTTGCACTCCTACCATCTCTTGTTGTGCTGTCTGCGTGCACTCCTACCATCTCTTTTTGTGCTGTCTGCTTGCACTCCTACCATCTCTTGTTGTGCTGTCTGCGTGCACTCCTACCATCTCTTGTTGTGCTGTCTGCGTGCACTCCTACCATCTCTTGTTGTGCTGTCTGCGTGCACTCCTACCATCTCTTGTTGTGCTGTCTGCGTGCACTCCTACCATCTCTTGTTGTGCTGTCTGCGTGCACTCCTACCATCTCTTGTTGTGCTGTCTGCGTGCACTCCTACCATCTCTTGTTGTGCTGTCGGCGTGCACTCCTACCATCTCTTGTGGTGCTGTCTGCGTGCACTCCTACCATCTCTTGTGGTGCTGTCTGCGTGCACTCCTACCATCTCTTGTTGTGCTGTCTGCGTGCACTCCTACCATCTCTTGTTGTGCTGTCTGCGTGCACTCCTACCATCTCTTGTTGTGCTGTCTGCGTGCACTCCTACCATCTTTTGTGGTGCTGCTCCCTTGACGTATTTCGCTCGCTCTGCCTCGCGCTGAACCTCCCCTCCTGCTGAACCTTCCCTTCTTCTCTCCCCGCCCCGTCTCCTTGATCACCTCCTCCCCCTCCCATGGGAGCAGTCGACGTTCGGGCTGCCAGGCGTGTGTGAGACGGACAGGGAGTCGTCCTTTTGTGCCTACATGCTGCTGCCCAAGTAAGGCCCTTGGCTTGCAGCAAACGTAGTGAGGCACGGTGTCTCCACCTGACATGAAGCTCAGTAAATCCCTTCAACACCAGAAAAATTGCGCTCTCCTGTGTTATCCCTCCTCACGTCCCCACTCCCCACCTCCCATCTCTTCTCCTCCTCACGTCATCCCATCTTTCTTCTTCACTCCCTCGTGCACCTCTCTCACCTTTCCCAATTCCTCCATGTTTTCCCGATCCGCCCCTCCCTCCCCTCCTTTCCCCCTGTCGCTGCTCTGCACCACGTCCCCCTGCCCGCTAACCCCCGTACAGTCGCAACCCGTGTCTGGTGGTGAAGGACGCGTTGGAGGACAGTCGCTTCGTGCACAATAAGCTCGTGAGTTCTTTCCCTCGCCTCCTCCTTCCCGACTCCCTCCCTCGCCACCGCCTCCCTGAGCCGCTCTTGAGAATTCTCGAAACCGTGTCGTCCGCACCAAGCTCTTGATTCTCCGCCCCCTCCTTCCCCTCCTCCCCCGCCCCCCCCCCCTTTTCCCCCTTCTACGACCGTGCGCGCCATGGCACGGCAGGTGGTGGGCCCGCCATACATCCGCTTCTATGCGGGGGCGCCAGTCACCACCAGCGGGGGCTTCGTTCTCGGCTCGCTGTATGCGGCTCTTCCCCCAACCCACCCTGCCGTGCCTTGCGATGCTCTTGCCCTCCCCTGCTGCCATCCTTGCCCGCCCCCGCTGGCCTGCATCCGTCCCCTGCTGCTCTTCCCGTCCCCTGCTGCTCTTCCCGTCCCCCTTCCCCCTCGCGCTTTCCAAGCCTTTCTGCACTTCCAGCTCGCATCACCCATTCGTGATCCTATGTCGCTTGCGCGGCTGCTTAGCCCCGTTGCCTGCGCTTCCACTGGCTGCCCCACACCCTTCCCTGCCTTCTAACCCTCCACCACCGTCCCCTTAAACAACGTGCCCACGTGTCAACATGCTGCCATTTCACCATGCTGGCACGTCTGAATCTCTCTGACCCGCAGCAGCATCTCCCCCCTGCCACCTCCTGCTGTGTGGGCTACACCGTGCCCCCTTCACTCACTCACACCTCGCCGCCCTCTTCCTCCTCTCCACCCCCACCCCCCCCCCCACACACCTTGTCCGCCTCTTGACCCCCGCACACGGCAGCTGTGTGATTGACACCGTGCCACACCCCGAGTTCTCGCCCGAGCAAGAGAGCCTCCTCGTTGCCCTCGCCTCCCTCGTCACTCTCGTGAGACCTCCATCCCTCCTCCCTCCTTCCCTTCCCCCCCTTCCTTCCCTCCCTCCCTCCCTCCCTCCATTCCTCCATTCCTCCTTCCCTCCCAGGTCCTTCCGTTGTTCCTTTCTTCCGTTCTTCCCTCCTTCCCGCTTTCCCTCCGTTCCTTCCTTCTTGCCCTCCTTCGCTCCCTGCCCTACCTCACCTCGTTTCCTCCCCGCACCACCCTCATGGGACTCTCTTTCCCTCCTCTCACTCGCTCCCTTCCGTGAGCTCCCATCAGCTTCCCTCCTACTCCGCGCACTGCATCTCAAAGCCATCAATCAATCTCTCCCCCCTCCTTCCCCTTTCATCAATCTCTCCTCTTTTCCTCCCCTCCACCTTGCTCTCTGCATGCGCCGCCTGTGTCCCCTTCGTGCCCCTCTGTATGCCTCTCTCTCTCTGCGTGCGTCTCTGCACGCCCCACGTGCGTCCTGGCCTGGGGCAGGAGATGGACAAGCACAGCCAGGAGATAGAGGCGCAGCGCGTGCAGGCAGACAAGTTCGAGGAGGACAAGCGCGGGCTGCTGCTCGCCATAGACGCCTTCAGCGAGGGGCTGGTCTTAGTGGACGTGTCGCAGCCGAGGCAGCCGGTGGTGTTTGTGAATGAGGGGTGGGAGGAGATCACTGGCTACTCCATCGAGCACGTCGTCGGGCTGCACTGCGGCTCCATCCTGCAGGGCCCCGGGTCTAACATGACCGCTGTTGAGACCATGAGAAAGGCTGTTGAGACCGGCGGGTCTGCGTCGGTGGAGCTGATGAATTATAAGAGAGATGGCACGCCGTTTTGGAACTGGCTGCGCATTCATCCCGTGCCGCCAGGGTCGTCGTTCCTGCCCACGGACAAGAACCAGAGGTGAGACGTGCTGCGCAGAAAGGAGCTGCCGTGGTCGCTGTGTGTCCCAATTATTTGTTTGATGGTGTCTATTCACGCATATGTACCCCACCATGTGCATCCCCCTGCCGTTTGCATCCCCCATATTTTCCTCCCATGTGCCCCCCACCGTGTGCACCATGGCAGGTACTACTTTGGCATTCTGTCTGACTGCACGGCGCGCAAGGAGAACGAGTGGCAGCTCGAGAGCATGCGCGTGAGTGCTGCTGCCCATGGGGACAGTGTGGGATGGAGGGTAGGGGGCAGGGAGGGGGTGGAGGGTGGGGGGGAGGGAGGGGGTGGAGGGTGGGGGGCAGGGAGGGGGTGGAGGGTTGGGGGCAGGGAAGGAGAGGGGGGTGTCCTGGGAAGGTGGGAAGCAGTGATGGAGCAGTGGCAAGGCATGTTAGGGAGATGGTGCACAAGGCGCTAAGGTTAGGGAGATGGTGGCGAGTAGTGGGGATTGTGGGACTGTGACTCAGGACCTTGTGGGCCGGTTCACCCACAGCACCTTCCCGTACTGTGCCTTCCTCTCATACGCCTTTCCTCCCTCCTATTTCCTCCCCATGCTTCTTACATCCCCTCCATTCTCGCTCTTGTTCCGTCCGCTCCATTCACTCCCTGTGCGGCGGCACGGCACACTCGCAGATGGCGGAGGTGGAGAGGGAGGCGAGCATGCGAGCCAAGAGGCAGTTCGTGGCGAACATAAGCCACGAGATCCGCACGCCCATGAACGCCGTGCTGGCGTGCGCGCAGCTGCTGCAGGACGCGCCCAACCTCACGCAAGACCAGGTGGAGCTCGTTCACATGATCTCAGGGGCGGGACAGCAGCTGCTGTCACTCATCACCGACATTCTCGACTTCTCCAAGGTGGGTGTCTCGTGCACGCTTGCCAGCTCAGCCAAGTCTGCATATATGGGTGCAGAGGTAGACAGGCAACACAGGCAAGTGTGTCAGATGAGCAATGGGCAGCTGCTGCAGGACGCGCCCAACCTCACGCAGGACCAGGTGGAGCTCGTTCACATGATCTCAGGGGCCGGGCAGCAGCTGCTGTCACTCATCACTGACATTCTTGACTTCTCCAAGGTATGTGCCTCTCAAAAACTGGGTTGCTGGGTCAGGTGGTTCCAGCAGCACGAGTGTACGTGCGCCCAAGAGGCTCAGGTGGTGCCCATCACATATGTTTACCCTTCCTCTGCCCCTCCTCCCTCTCCCCCTCTTTCCTCCTCTCTGTGACAGCTGGACGTGGGGAAGATGGAGATGCACGAGAGGGAGAGGTGAGCCTGTGAGGTGACCTCCCACCGCCCCTTCCTTCATCCCCTCCTCTACCCCTCCCTCCCCCCTCTCTCCCCCCTGTGGCAGCTGGACGCGGGGAAGATGGAGATGCACGAGAGGGAGGTGAGCCTGTGGGCGTGCCTTGACTTCTGCATGGAGCTGCTCGTCCTCAAGTCGCAGCGCAAGGGCCTCGACCTCTCCTACAACGTCGACCCCTCTGTGCCGCAGTGAGTGCCCCTCCCATCCCTCTGTACCGCAGAGAGTGCAGCGACCACATTTGCCTGCCATCGAGGACATTAGCTTGCAGTGTGGCATCTTGCTGTGCTGTTGTGCCAGCATGCTGCAAGCAATCTGGAGGTTCTCTTGTGTGCGTGTTGGTACGGCTGCGCACTGTGTTTTGACCAACACGTATTCTTTCATATTTATTGTTTTGTCCTTTGTTGTTGTGCGGTGTGTGCTGCTATGATGCATGCTGGTACGGCTGCCGTGCTGCGTGCTGCGTGCATGGTGCGTGGTGCATGGTGCATGGTGCATGGGGGCCACCAGGTGGATATGGGCGGACGAGGTGAGGCTGAGGCAGATCCTCACCAACCTGCTGTCCAACGCGGCCAAGTTCACGGACGAGGGCGGCCAGGTCGAGGTCTCCGTCTCCGCCACTCTGCTCCCCGACCCCGGTCAGTCTCACTCCTCTCTGATGCGCGCTGATGAGTGGTGAGGTGCGGTGATGAGCGCTGATGTGTGGTGAGGCGCAGTGATGTAAGTGGGGTGAACATCCGGTCTCCATTTAACACCAATTATGTTTTTAGTTGCTTCAAGCCCGCCCAAACCACCCATCCCCATCCCATCTCATCCCATTTTATGTCATGCCGTGCCATCCATGATGTGTTTTCCACTGTTCCCACTGTGTGTGCCATGCTGTCGGCTCACAGAGCGGGAGGAGGGGGAGCAGCAGCAGGGGGAGGAGGAGCCATGGCGCGTGCTGCCGTGGTTTGAGATCCAGTTCTCAGTGCGCGACACCGGCATCGGCATGCCGCCTGAATTCGCCTCCGTCATCTTTGAGGTAAGCCGCGCTCGTCTGTCCTCCTGGAACGGTGTAACCCCCCCACTCTCGCCGACCCCTCCACCCCCCCCTCCTGTGAACTGCTTCGCTTCCCCTGCCCCCCCCCTCCTGTGAACTGCTTCGCTTCCCCTGCCCCCCCCCTCCTGTGAACTGCTTCGCTTCCCCTGCCCCCCCCCTCCTGTGAACTGCTTCGCTTCCCCTGCCCCCCCCCTCCTGTGAACTGCTTCGCTTCCCCTGCCCCCCCCCTCCTGTGAACTGCTTCGCTTCCCCTGCCCCCCCCCTCCTGTGAACTGCTTCGCTTCCCCTGCCCCCCCCCTCCTGTGAACTGCTTCGCTTCCCCTGCCCCCCCCCTCCTGTGAACTGCTTCGCTTCCCCTGCCCCCCCCCTCCTGTGAACTGCTTCGCTTCCCCTGCCCCCCCCCTCCTGTGAACTGCTTCGCTTCCCCTGCCCCCCCCCTCCTGTGAACTGCTTCGCTTCCCCTGCCCCCCCCCTCCTGTGAACTGCTTCGCTTCCCCTGCCCCCCCCCTCCTGTGAACTGCTTCGCTTCCCCTGCCCCCCCCCCTCCTGTGAACTGCTTCGCTTCCCCTGCCCCCCCCCTCCTGTGAACTGCTTCGCTTCCCCTGCCCCCCCCCTCCTGTGAACTGCTTCGCTTCCCCTGCCCCCCCCCTCCTGTGAACTGCTTCGCTTCCCCTGCCCCCCCCCTCCTGTGAACTGCTTCGCTTCCCCTGCCCCCCCCCTCCTGTGAACTGCTTCGCTTCCCCTGCCCCCCCCCTCCTGTGAACTGCTTCGCTTCCCCTGCCCCCCCCCTCCTGTGAACTGCTTCGCTTCCCCTGCCCCCCCCCTCCTGTGAACTGCTTCGCTTCCCCTGCCCCCCCCCCTCCTGTGAACTGCTTCGCTTCCCCTGCCCCCCCCCTCCTGTGAACTGCTTCGCTTCCCCTGCCCCCCCCCTCCTGTGAACTGCTTCGCTTCCCCTGCCCCCCCCCTCCTGTGAACTGCTTCGCTTCCCCTGCCCCCCCCCTCCTGTGAACTGCTTCGCTTCCCCTGGCCCCCCCCCTCCTGTGAACTGCTTCGCTTCCCCTGCCCCCCCCTCCTGTGAACTGCTTCGCTTCCCCTGCCCCCCCCCTCCTGTGAACTGCTTCGCTTCCCCTGCCCCCCCCCTCCTGTGAACTGCTTCGCTTCCCCTGCCCCCCCCCTCCTGTGAACTGCTTCGCTTCCCCTGCCCCCCCCCTCCTGTGAACTGCTTCGCTTCCCCTGCCCCCCCCCTCCTGTGAACTGCTTCGCTTCCCCTGCCCCCCCCCCTCCTGTGAACTGCTTCGCTTCCCCTGCCCCCCCCCTCCTGTGAACTGCTTCGCTTCCCCTGCCCCCCCCCTCCTGTGAACTGCTTCGCTTCCCCTGCCCCCCCCCTCCTGTGAACTGCTTCGCTTCCCCTGCCCCCCCCCTCCTGTGAACTGCTTCGCTTCCCCTGCCCCCCCCCTCCTGTGAACTGCTTCGCTTCCCCTGCCCCCCCCCTCCTGTGAACTGCTTCGCTTCCCCTGCCCCCCCCCCTCCTGTGAACTGCTTCGCTTCCCCTGCCCCCCCCCTCCTGTGAACTGCTTCGCTTCCCCTGCCCCCCCCCTCCTGTGAACTGCTTCGCTTCCCCTGCCCCCCCCCTCCTGTGAACTGCTTCGCTTCCCCTGCCCCCCCTGTGAGAAATTGTAAGAACAACCGATAGTTTCATTAGGAAGGGCATGGGTTTACATAGTTGAGCTAGGATGTAGGAGCCATGCCAACATTATTGGCCCCCACCAATAAGTTGGGTTGAGGAGTTATTGGGGGGACCAATAATGTTGACCAAAAGTGGGTCAACATTATTGGGGGGGCCAATAATCTCCCAACCCAACCTTGGGGGCCCAATAATTGGGCCAAGGTTGGGTTCCAACCTCAAACTAGGGTAAACCCTAGTTGTGCACCCAAACTAAGTTTGGGTGCCTATCTCTAGTCAAAGCGTATATGATGATGCAGGTTACAATGAAGATGGTAATCTGACACAACCCCTTAACCTGCAGAAATCCATAGGCTTTGGAAGAGAGAACGCAACAACCCCTGAATCAGCCACCGCGGGGAGCAAGTCCCTGAAGGCGCAGGAGCGCAGAGTGGTTAGAGCGATGGAGAGCCTTGGTGAAGAGGTCAGCGAGGTTGGCGGACGAGTCGATTTTACGAACAGTGATGTGACCATCTTGCACAAGATCGCGGACAAAGTAGTAGCGGAGTTCGATGTGTTTGGAGCGACCATGAAAGACGGCCTCCTTGGTGAGGTGGATGGTACTATCGTTGTCACACCACAGGGTGGGGCAGGGCTGTGGTGAGCCAAGGTCGGTGAGAAGATAGCTAAGCCAGCGTGCCTCTTGAGCCGCCATGGTGACTGCGTACAGCTCGGCTTCGCAGGAGGAGAGGGCGACGGAGGAGGAGCGAGTGGAGCGCCAGCTGATGAGGCCGCTCCCAAGGGAGAAGCCATATCCTTGAGAACTGCGATGGTCCGGCTGTGCATCCGCCCAAGATGAGTCACTGAAGCCTTGAAGAACAGGTGGGTCCACACCACCAAGCGTGAGGCCATAGTCCTTTGTGCCTTGGAGGTAGCGCAGAACACGCATGGCCGCCTTCCAGTGCTCCTCACCATGCCTGCCAGTGCCAACAAACCGCGCCAGGACACTGACGGGGTATGCAAGGTCGGGACGAGTGCAGACCATGGCGTACATCAGGGCCCCAACGAGTTCTGCATAGGGATGAGGGGAGGTGCCAGGAGTGGCTGGAGGGGACAGCCGATGCCCGAATGCAAGTGGTGTGGGGATGGGTTTGGATTTGGACATGCCGAATCTCTCGAGCACCTTCCCGATGTAGAATGACTGAGAGAGGGTGATAGTCTTGGCAGTGAGGTCGCGGGTGATCTCCATGCCAAGGTAGTTGCGGACTTCCCCCAGATCTTTGCAGGCGAGACGTTGCTGCAGCTCATCCTTGACCTCCTGAAGTTCAGCAGCTGTCTCAGCTGCTAGCAGCATGTCGTCGACGTAGACGAGGATGAAGAAGGGTGACGGAGTTAAGCGAAGGAAGAGGCAAGAGGCAGCACGGGAGGGGCGAAAGCCAAGTGCGCGAAGGGTGGATGAGAGTTTGGCGTGCCATTCTCGAGGTGCTTGTTTGAGCCCGTAAACAGGGCGTAGTAGTTTCCAGACGGTGGCAGGGTCGTGAGGAGCGTGGAAGCCCTTGGGACGTTCCAAGAAGATGAGTTCGTGGAGGTCGCCTTGTAAGAAGGCCGTGGTGACATCCATGGAGTGGAGGAGCATCCCGCGTCTGCCAACGAAGTCCAGAAACACGCGAATGACCGGCGGAGTGGCGGTAGGTGAGTAGGTCTCGAAGAAGTCCGAGCCATAAGTCTGTGTAAAGCCTTTCGCCACATACCGAGCCTTGTAGACAGGAGCTTCACCAGGGAGTAGTTTTACTCGGAAGAGCCACCTGCCTTTGACCACGTTGTGCTTGGAGGGGCGAGGGACGTCGAGGAAAGAGCGGTTGTGGATGAAGGCGTTGCATTCCTTGACCATGGCCTCGATCCAGAGAGGTGCGTCAAGACATGCAATTGCTTGCTCGTAGGTGGTGGGTTCGTAGATGGTGGGGGTGTTGGAGAAAAGAAGGACCGTAGTACCAGCCATGGTGCGGACGACAGGGGCGATGGTGGGTGAGAGGAGGTGGAGGAAAAGGAGTTCATCATGAGAGTCTTCATAGAGGTCCGGAGAGAGAGGAGGAGGAAGAGGAGGCGGTGAAGATGCAAGACAGCTGCGCTGGAGGGTCAGGCTGGAGCGGGAACACGGCTGCACTGCTGCTCTGCTGCGCCGAGGGTCGGGGCGAGGAGACAGCTGCAATGCTGCTCTGCTGCGCTGAGTTGCCGTGAGGGGCAGGGAGACGGGAGCGCGGCTGGTGTGAGAACCTGAGGGGCTGGTGCGGGGGAGTGGGGAAGTGCTAGAGTGGTGGAGGAGTGGAATGGATGTGAGAGACCGGAGGGAGAGGTGATTGGACCGTGGGGGACCAAGGATGGGGACTGTGGAGCGGGTGTGAGGGTAGTGACGAAGGAGCAGAGGAGGGGACGAAAGTAAGGGCCGAGATGGTGGAGGGGAAGGGGGCGGAGGAGGAGATGGGGAGGGTGGAGGTTGGGAGAGGGGAGGGGGTGGGGGAGAGTTCAGGGGGGGAGGGGATGGAGAGGGAGGGGGAGGGGGTGGGGAGGGAGGGGGGGGGTCAGCGGGGAGAGGGGGAGGGTCAGTGGGGGAGAGGGAGTTACAGCGGAAGGGGAGGGTGGGGCAGCCGGGTCAAGGATGTCCCCTGAGGAGGTTGGGAGAGAGGGGGGAGGGGGGGGGGTGCGGGTATGACCAGGGTGGGGGGAGGTTGAAGGGGAGGGGTGATGACAGTGTCAGTCCAGAGGAGAGGACGTATGGTGAGGGGGAGGGGGTTAGGGGCGGAGGGGGAGGTGTAGTACGGATTGGCTTCATCAAAAACCACATCCCGACTACGAATGAGACGACCTGAGGGGGGGTGGAGGAAGAGGTAGTCCGGGGAGGTGGGGTTATGACCAATGAAGATGCAAGGGAGGGTGCGGGAGGCAAGTTTCCCAGCTGCACGTGAACGGTCCTCAGGGTGTATGAGAACATACGCCTTGGAGCCCCACACGCGCAGGGGGGAGATGTCGGGTTTAGTGGAGGTCCAGAGTTCGGTGGGAGTAGTGGTGGGCCGTGAGGGATGGGGGTAGAGATTAGTGAGGATGGCGGCGTGGAGGATAGCATAACCCCACAGAGAAGGCGGGCAGGAGGCATGGACCATGAGGCATCGAGCGGTCTTGGTGACCTCCCGAACCCTGCTCTCCGCCACACCATTTTGCTGAGGGGAATGAGGAAGGGTGTAGGTGTGGATAATGCCATGGGTGGAGCAGTAGGAGGAAAGCATCCGGTTAAGGAACTCACCGCCGCCATCGGAATGGAAGC